GTGATAGGAGTGCCAATACCATCCCATGCTATTTTAACACCCTGCCATCTCCTAGGCCTCTTCTGAATGGCAGAGTTGAACCCCACAAAATGGCACCAATTCTCAGTGAAGAGACTATACTGAGAAATATATGGAGTGAGTGTAGTCATCTGTGACGGCAGTGCTAATATAATGGAAGAGTTGTCAAATGGGAGAGAGGCAATCCTTAAGAAGATAAATCCTTTTCGGGGCTATCTCTATATAAAAGGGGGTGTGTGGGAAAGCTGAGTGTTTACTCACAGAGGATAAGAAGAAATGCCACAAAAAGGTCTCTTGCAGTAAATACAGAAAAGGTTTAATATTTTATCTTTTCTTTCCTTCCCAAACAGTGGAAGCTCTACATCTGGGGACGTTAATGGCAGCTCATGGCTATTTCTTTCCAATCTCAGACCATGTTCTAACACTAAAGGATGATGGCACCTTTTACCGGTTCCAAGTAAGTAAGCTTAAAATGTTCTAGAGATGTTTAAATGAAGGCTTATATTAAGAGTTAGATTCTATTCATTGCAACTGTAAATGTACTGTCCCCTTTCAGTGCTCCAGTTAATGATTTTAATTCATTGTAAACATAAAAAAGTGACTAGCAGTATATCCTGAAACTGTTAATAAATTAAACAGAGAGACACTAAGGGCTATCACAAATATGTACACAAGATTACATGGGAGTAGAAATGTCCCCTTAAGAAATAACAGTAACTCTAATGGTTTGGAAAGTCTAACAGGTGCAATAAAGTGACACACAGAGCATTTCTGAATAGTCCCTCCCTTTGTAAAGATCTAATGGAGTTCTGGGCTTTGGAATGCAACACATTCTAGCTCGTTCCTCACAGGCAACACTGAACACTACAGACAGAATATTTTCTCTTCTGAGAGGTGTACATGTGTGTCTTCTAGCAGTACATATTTGATTATGATCTCACATTTATGATCTCACTATTTCTCTTGACTAGTTGGTTGCACTGTAGTACTCGTGAAAAAAATGAGCAAGTGTTAAAAACCAGATTAGAAGACTATGTCTCATTTTAGATGTATTATTGATAGCTTTTTGTTTTTAATTTCATACTTATGTTCTTATGTTCTTATACTTACTGTACAATAATTTTTAAAATTAGTTCTCTACTGTTGCACAAAGTGAGCAGCTTGAGTTCATGTGCTGAATATTGAGACAAATATGATCCACAGTATAGACTGGATATCCTGGCATTTGCTAAATACATTAGAAATAAAAAAAAATAATTGATGGGTTGCCTGTATATCATCTCCCATACATTTAAGACTAAAACTTTACAGTAGAAAATCAGAGGTCTGAACACCTTGGGAATGGAGATTGATTGTAACTTTGAGATGTTTGAAACTCTGAACAAAACAACACGGTTGTTCTTTTGAAAGTTGGCAACTAAACAATAAAATAGCAAAGCTGTATTAAGTTACTATGCGGAAGAAAAATGCTGTCTTCCATTTATTTGGTTAATAATTTATATTCAACACAGTACTACACTGCATTTTGTTTTTGGTTTGGTTTTGGTTACTGGTTTTTTGTTTTTGTTTTTGATTTTTTGTTGGTGTGGGTTTATTATTATTATTATTATTTCTCTGCTGCTGCTTGATTGCATGCTTCTGATTCCAAATCAGATTAGTCTGTTTATAATTTTGGTATTCATAACTTTGAGGTTCTACTGTATTTTAAACAGAGAAAATGCCATTCAAAGATACTTGAGAAAAACATACTTTCAAGTGCAGAAGAAAGATGTCACATTGGAGAATAATCCTACCTTCCAAATCACTATCACCACTTGTGTTGTATGCCACACCTCATCTTTTCACGTTCTCATGTTATAATTCTGTTGTTGCTCTATTGCCCTTTATGTGAAGCAGCATGATCTTTGTTCTACAAAATGCAACATAAAAAATGTAGTGTTTAATTCTGAGAGATTAGGCTTTGTGGGATTTATAGCTAAATAAATGAAATAGTGTCAATCTAACGTGAAAGAAAAGGAAGTAGATGTGGGCAAGGATGGGGAGTATTGCGCACATTTCACAATTACAATACTCATAAAATGACTATTACTAATCTGTTCATATCCCATATCTGGAAAATGTAAGGCTTCTATAACACAACAAAATCAGTGATAGAAAAATATGGATTAGGATTAATTGAACTATGACCTTTACCATCCAGCGGTAGTTGCTCTAGTCAGCCTTTGTAGGGTATTTCAAGGAAGACCCATGTGTTCAACATCTTTAATGGTTTGATATCAAGTACTCATATCAGTAATGTATAGAATGCATCTCTTCACAGTCTTTACTATATCTGAATGGCCAATGAACGAATGAATAAGCCACATCTTTACCCCATGGAAGATTGACACAGTGGTGGTCAATCTTCCAGAGTTCGATTCAGCGCAGGGGTGGGGAACCTATTTTGGGTCAGGGGCTGCTGGCCCACCAAAAAAATCCGTTGGGGGGGCAGGGGGGGGGGGGGCTGGAGTGCCAGCATGTGCTCCCCAATGCTGGGGGAGGCCCTGAGCCTCAGGGGCCAAATCCAGGCAACTCAGGGCTGCATCCAGGCCTGGGCCTTAGGTTCCCCACCCCTGATTTAGTGGATCTAATAAAGACCCACTAAATCAAATACTGAGGGTGCCCCCATTGAAGTCAGTACTCCTTGAATCACAAAGAGCAAGGGAAGTCAATGGGAGCATTTGCTCCCATCGACATCCCACTGTGGAAACGGTGGCAATGTTTGAATTAACATACATCAAGTACAGCTGCACAATTAACATACCTGGAGTTGAGTATCTTAATTCAAATGTCCACATAAGCATAGACATGGCCTTAGTGACTCTGGGTGAAAATATTTGGAAGGATCTGCTCTGTACAGTCACAGATAAGAGAGATGGATAAACTCGTGACTTTTAAAAGTACCCTTCAATCCTCTGCTATCGAGTATCAGAGGGGTAGCTGTGTTAGTTTGAATCTGCAAAAGCGGCGAGGAGTCCTGTGGCACCTTATAGACTAACCGAAGTGTTGGAGCATAAGCTTTCGTGGGCAAAGACCCACTTCGTCAGATGCATCTGACGAAGTGGGTCTTTGCCCACGAAAGCTTATGCTCCAACACTTCGGTTAGTCTATAAGGTGCCACAGGACTCCTCGCCGCTTTTGCAGATTCAAACTAACACAGCTACCCCTCTGATACTCGATAGCAGAGGATTGAAGGGTACTTTTAAAAGTCACGAGTTTATCCATCTCTCTTATCTGTGACTGTACAGAGCAGATCCTTCCAAATATTTTCACCCAGAGTCACTAAGGCCATGTCTATGCTTATGTGGACATTTGAATTAAGATACTCAACTCCAGGTATGTTAATTGTGCAGCTGTACTTGATGTATGTTAATTCAAACATTGCCACCGTTTCCACAGTGGGATGTCGATGGGAGCAAATGCTCCCATTGACTTCCCTTGCTCTTTGTGATTCAAGGAGTACTGACTTCAATGGGGGCACCCTCAGTATTTGATTTAGTGGGTCTTTATTAGATCCACTAAATCAGGGGTGGGGAACCTAAGGCCCAGGCCTGGATGCAGCCCTGAGTTGCCTGGATTTGGCCCCTGAGGCTCAGGGCCTCCCCCAGCATTGGGGAGCACATGCTGGCACTCCAGCCCCCCCCCCCCC